GCAGCCGTTACCCACACCAGAAAGACCCTGGGGGGCAGTCTCATTGGACTTCATAACTGAATTGCCCCATTGAAGGGTGCTACAACCATTTTGGTAGTGGTGGACATGCTGACCAAAAGGGCCCACTTTATTCCATGTGCAGGTCTTTCTATGGCAAAGACGATGGCCCAGTTATTTATCTCCCATGAATAGTGTCAGACCTGGGCGTTCAATTTATGGCACGCTTTTGGCAGACCCTATTTGCTGAACTGCAGGTAGAGGAGTCTCTGTCATCTGCCCATCACCCCGAAACTAATGGGGGTATAGAGAGAGCGAATGCTATCTTAGAGCAATACCTCCGCTGTTTCAGCAACACTCAACAAGACAATTGGGCAGAGGTGCTGCCTGTGGCAGAATTCGCTTACAACAATGCTCAACATGCATCCACCCATGTGTCCCTGTTCTTCGCTAGCTATGGCTGTCAACTCATAAAACATTTTGTATATACATTTTATAGTTGACAACAGGAAAAAGGGGGGGTGGTCAAAGAGCAGGCAGCAGCGTAGAATCAAAAGTACATTCCATTCATATTGACTTCAAAGACTGATTAGATGACTGAAACTTCTGCCATGCAAAAATCTAATTGGAGAGCATGATTGATGGCTCTTGGCTATGGACATTTTTTGTTGGACGATACACCCAGAGGGGTGGGGCGAAAATCAGGATCAAGGGTGACAGTGAATTACGTATCTCAGAGTTGGCTACGCCCAGGTTAGTGCCAGATGTAGAATGTTAACTTCAAATAAATCCTTTTCAGTTTTGGGAGTGTGGCTCGAGGCTCATGATTTAATTGGAGTAACTGCCAGAATCCAGACAATGGCTTTCATCCTCTTCGCTTTGGCCCCATCTGACTCCCTGGTTCTGGCAGTGGATACGTTCTTGCAAGAGTTAAAAGCTGTGCACCACATGTTACGAGGCCAACTGGAGAGAGCCAAGGAGGACTACAAATGCTTTGCAGATTGGCATCATCATGATGTTCCGCCTTTAGCTGTAGGAGATCAGGTTTGGCTCTCTACCTGGTACTTACCGACAACGCGGCCATCGAAAAAGCTCGATCACCGCTACTTGGGACCTTTTCTGGTCGAGGCGGTGATCAATCCTATGGCATTTCGCCTATCCCTGCCACGGACCATGCAGATTCATCCAGTCTTTTATGGGTCCTTGTTAGTCCCAATATCGGCCGACAGTCCACATAGACCAGCTCCACCACAGCTGGGTCCAGTAGCCCCTTAGGGAGAGGTGGAGTACGAAGTGGACAGCATCTGAGATTCACACCAGCTGCAGTATCTGGTGGCATGGAAAGGTTATGGACCGGAGGACTTCACCTGGGTTGATGCCACAGATGTCCATGCCCCTCGTCTGGTCCATGACTTCCATGCCTGGTTTCCTTAATGTCCCTGTCCACATGGTCCTGGGGGACGGGACCCTGCATGGGGGATAGTGTCATGTACCTGTCGGAATCTGATTCCGAGGGGGAGGCCAAGCAACTGACAGGGAGTGGGAGTGTGGCTCCATTGCCTGTGGAAGAAACTGGGGAAGGACAAAGTCCAGCTGGGCAGAGCAGGGGAGAGGTAGAACAAAGGAGAGGGAATTCAGAGGAAGACCCAGGCCCACCCCCTCTTCATCCTAGGGCACACAGGGAGGAATGGAAAAGGGAGCAACGTGAGTTGCGTGGCTTACGGGGGGAAAAAGGGTCCAGATTCTCTTCATTAGCTGCAGCCGGGAACACAGTGTTTAAAAAGGAAAGCTGTGCGCAGTAAATTGTTGCGAGCAAATCGTGAATTTATCTGGCATCGTCGTGGCTTATCTGTGTTCCTGGTGTCTTCCCAACTGTGTGAGTGTTGCCATGCTTTCAAGTCTGAAATTCCTTCCCCTGCCCTGTCCAGTTAATTACTGCAGCTTGGTATGTTTGGACTTTTGGTTACAGTCTGTATGTACCTTGTTTTGGACTGAATTTTCTACAGTTAAAGGCTGTTCCTGGGAGAGTTTTTCTCCAGCCAAAGGTAACCTGGATATTGGGGGCAAAGTTGGAGATAATAAAGGGACTCTTCTTGCTTATGTGACTGTGTTGCCTTTGTGCCATGTCCCGGGTCATCACAGTCGCAGCCAGCTCTGTGATTTCTAGAGATGACTCACACTTGTGTAAGAGCACAGGTTGCCACATTGCTTCAGGCTACTAGTGCGGTCCAGCACATCACTCTAAAACAAAAAAGGTGTGAAGGCAAATTTCTCTCTCTTATTGTTCCTCAAAAAACTATAAGTGGAAAAATTATAAGTGGAAACTGGGGCCTTCTTGAAAGCCTCCAGTGATGAAGGTCCCACAGCGATGAAGTGCTGGAAGGGAGTGGGGGTTTGCTCTCAGTTTGTACCCACTCCTCACTAGCATGGATGATGTTACCTAGCTGGGTCATGAAATGTTTGGCTAGGAAACAGTCCAGCTCAGAAAGCACCAACACCCCCCCCAAAAAAATAAAACGCCTTTTCCCTCCCCAGGAGGAAAGGGGAAAGGAAAGCCCCCAGCTCCCTCTTCTCCTGCAGACCCCCTCTCCCTTCAGAAGCCAACTTCCCAACCCCCCACTCTTGCAATAGGTCTGTCAATGGCTATTGATTGACAGAGTTTAAAGCAAGCGTGGTGGTATGTAGGTAGTCCTCTACTTACAACCGTTCCTTTAGTGAACAATTAAAGTTACCATGGCACTGAAAAAGGTGATGTCAACTCATAAAACATTCCTATCCCTGTTGTAGTAGCTGTCATAAAAAGCGGGGAGGAAGGAAATCTGGAAGAGCATTTGAAAGCACATTCCAACTCTTATCTTTAAAAGATTGTAACTAAAATACCAGGGCTTTTGCCCGTACATATATTTAATTGGAGAACGTGAATGATGACACCCAGCCCTTGAATGTGCTCAATTGGAGAATCTGGTTTATGAGACATTCATGGGGGAGGGGAAAGCAAACAGAATCACAGGTGACTGTAAATGACGTATGCCAGAGTTGGCTTCATACAGGGCAGTGCCAGTATGTCGCCTCTAATGAATCCTTTGAAGTGTTTTGAAGTTTGGCTCGAGATATCATGATTTAATTAGAGCGATTGCTGGAATCCTGACAGATGACTTACGACCCGTTTTTTCACACTTATGATCACTGTAGCATCTCTGTTGTCACGTGATTTACATTTGAATGCTTGACAACTGAATCACATTTATGACGGTTGAAGTGTCCTGGGATCATGCAATCCCTTTTTGCAACTTTCCAACAAGTCAATGGGGAATCCGGATTCACTTAACAAGCGGGTTCATAATATAGCCATTGCGGTGATTCACTTAAGAAAAGTGGCAAGCACATTTTATCATATGTGGTGGATTTGCGTCAAAGCAAAAAAAAAAAAAAAATCGGGGGAGAGGGCAAAGACACAGGTGGCTAGAAAAGAGGATAGGAAAACGTGAAGATTTTAAACCTCAACTGTTTTTTATTAGGCATAATATCAGAAAAAAATGATAAGCAAAGTATGTATTTAATATGGGATGTCTTAACAGCAGCGAGGATTATATTCGCATAATGTCACTCCTCTACTCGTTGCAGAATACCTTATGCCACCAGACTTGAAATTCTAGACCTAGAAAAACTAGAACTACACTGCCTTCTGTCCGATCTAAATATAGTATATAAAATCATACATTGCAATGTCCTACCTGTCAATGAATACTTCAGCTTCAACCATAACAATACAAGAGCACATAATAGATACAAACTCAGGGTTAACCGCACCAAACTCGATTGCAGGAAATACGACTTCAACAACAGAGTCTGGTCAATGTCTGGAATACTCAACCTGACTCTGTGGTTTCTTCCCCAAACCCCAAAAACTTTAACCTTAGACTATCTACTATTGACCTCACCCCTTTCCTAAGAGGTCTGTAGGGGGCGTGCATAAGCGCACCAACGTGCCTACCCTCCCTGTCCTATTGTTTCTTTTATATATTTTTTATTTTTCTTATATGTATCCACGTATTCATAACTATGTTTTTACTTATACCTATTATCTTGTAAGCAATTGACAAACCAAATAAATAAATAAAATAAATAATACCACGAGATGAAGAGATAGTCAGGAAAGTTCTAGAGCTGTGACGGTGAACCTATGGCCCGCATGCTGGAAATGGCATGCAGAGCCACTTCTGCAGGCACGCAAGAAGTTGCCCAGAAGAGCCCCACTGCGCATGCACACGCGCCCTTCTCCAGCCAGCTGATTGTCGGGTATCTGCCATGCATGCACAGGGGGAGATGCATGCATGCGAGATGTGCGTTCATGTGCAGAGGCATGCGGCATGCAGAGGGGTTGCGTACGCATGCACAGAGGTGTGCGGTGTGGGGGGTCAAGCACGCATGCGCAGAGGCATATGGTGCATGCGCAGGGGGGCGGGAGGAGTCACGTGAGCATTGCATCATGGGTGCAGGCACGCGAGCACACTTTTGGCATGCGACATGGAAAAGGTTAGACATCGCTGTTCTAGAGTGTGCAGAAATTGATGGGTTGAAAATTAAACGGAAAGGAGATGTAGAGTATTATCAAACATGGAATTTATTTTACCAATGGTTGGGGGAAAAGGAGGTGAAGATTAAGAATGTAAATTTGTATTGTTAAGCAAACTGAATAGCCAGAACAACACGATGTTTATTAAGCACTAAGAAATGTATTTAATAGAAAATCAATAAAAAAAATTAAAAGAAAAAGGTGGCAAGAAAAGTCGTAAAATTGGGCAAAATTCACTTAACAAATTTCTCACTTAGCGACATACATTTCGGGCTCAATTGTAATCCTACATTGAAGACTACCTCCGTTAGACGGAGGCTTACTTATCTGGAATATTTGTTTTTTTAATATATTTTTGTTAGATGAGAATGGGAACGCTTTAGTTTATAGATACTCACCAACTGTTGTCTAATGCCTTGTTTTGTAGTTGCTCTAGAGTTACTCAAGGAGAAGTATTTAAGAAGACTGTGCTGTGGTATACTTTGCCAGGTAGGGCATTCTATTTATTTATTTAATGCTGCATTTAACTGTTTATTTTAATTAGTAGAAGTGAGATGCCCAGATTTCCCAGCGTCCTCCAGTGACAATACCCACATTGCACTGGATGGCCTAGCACAGCCTGGGATTTGGGCTCACAGATTTAACAGCTGCCGGCTAGCAAGCCTCTTTTCAAGAAAAATGTTCTCAAAGGGCAATTTTGTTTGGTTCCTAACTCTACTGCACAAACAACAGCCAAGATGATCAAATCTAGAACAGCATCTTCTGTGCTGATTGAAAAGCAGGGATTTTCCCAGCCCTAAAACTGAGAAGCTGGTGGCATTTAAGGCCTTTGGCACGCAAAACATGTAATCGTTCTTTTGGGGTCTTGAAAAATTTGTGTCTATACACCCTTTGCAGGCACCAAACTCTTTCTTCTTTGCTTCAGGCATTTAGCACTTGTCCTCTCGGATAGCAACTGTACTTCCAAAATATTGCTAGGTTGTCTTGGTAACCTGACATTTCTTTCAATTGACTAGCATGCTAACTTTCTGTTAAAACAGAGGTGTGCATTTGATCATGATGGCGAGAGCCCTCTGTCCTGCTTAAACGTCAGTGAAGCGATAAGAAGAGAAGAGAAGGTAGGCGCAGACAAGTTTTGGAAATGTAGGTTGGAAGAGAACTTGAAAAGGGATCTGATCATTTGCAACGTTCTTGCTTGTAAAGTTGAGTGGGCAGAAATGATAAAGAACTGAATACCTTCATATATGAACAAAGCCTTGTCCCAAAGGTGTTTTTCCAAAAGGCAATTCATTTTTGGACGAGAAGCAAAACGTTTTCAAACAAACAAAAAACAAAAACAAGTCCAGTTGCCTTTTGGAAAAGCACCCTGTGTCAGCGTTCCAGTGGTTGGAGTGCAGTACTGCAGACTACTTCTGCTGACTGCCAGCTGCCTGCAATTTGCCAGTTCAAATCTCACCAGGCTCATGGTTGACTCAGCCTTCCATCCTTCCAAGGTGGATAAAATGAAGACCTAGATTGTTGGGGGCAATAGGCTGACTCCGTAAGCTGCTTAGAGAGGGCTGTAAAGCACTGTAAAGCAGTATATAAATATAAGTATTATTGCTATTATTTCAAAAAAGAGTCATCTAACCAGATGCTTATTTCCTGGTAGAAGGAACTTTCTGTAAATTAGTTGAACTGGCTTCTGGGTGGCAGTCTCCTTAATTTCAGTTCCTCTTCTTTAAATAGGAAACCTGTTGCTATCAAAGACTAAGAACCCAGCTGTCCTGGCCTTGGAGCACGTACTGGTCCACAGAAGATATTTTATTGCTAGGTAAGCTTAAAATATGCCTTGGGTGCAAATGGATTGGCTAAAAGGAGAGGCGTATAGCCCTGGAAGAAGAAACCTGCATCTGATTTGCATGTTGCAATGTATTGTTTTTCAAAATTTGAATTTTTTTATTTTTTTTAAAGAAAGGGGTAAGGTGGAAGACTCGGAAGCAACATACTCAAAGTTTAGGAATTCTTCTGTTTATGACATCATTTTCTTTTTTTTTTTAAAAAAAAGTTTTATTGATTTTAACAACAAATAAAAACACATAAAACATAAAACATAACATAAGAACATCATCATTCTTCATAAATTTACAGACAGTGTATCGGTTGGTTTATCACTCCTTTTTGTGCATCTATTTCATAGTCATCATAATAATTATGTTACATAATAACTCATATTATCAATCAACAATTATATATCCTAATATCCTTATTAAACAATCATTTGACTATAATTTAACTAATTCATGCTTAAGCGAGATAACTATAATTTAGTTAATTTATAACAAATCGTAAAATCATACCAAATCTATCTTAATATAATATTCTAAAAATATTATCAAAACCAAAATATATATATATTCTATTATTATATTGTTTTATCTAACCATTGATAAAAAAGATCCCAAACTTCATAGAATTGTTTATCTTCTTGTTCTCTAATTTCAAATGTCAATCTACTCATTTCAGCACATTCCAATATTTTCTTAATAATTTCTTCCTCTAATGGTATTTTCTCACTCTTCCAATTTCTAGCAAATACAATCCTAGCCGCTGTTAACACATTTACAATCAAATACTTTAAGTTTTTATTAAATGTATCAGGTAAGATTCCCAATAGAAAAATCTCTGGTTTCAAATCTATATGTTTTTTTGTCATTTCTTCCAACATGACATCATTTTCCAGGTTCTTCCATCCCCTTTTATTATGATTATTAAGTTTGTAGCTAATACTTTTCCATTAATATTATTGTACGCATTTATGCTTTTGTTGATTAGCGTTTGCATCTATCATCCATCTGTGGATAAAGATTAAAGTACACGTCCTATTTTGAAACTGTGCAGCTCAGCAGCCATTAGAAAGGCTCTGACTGAAATGTCTTTATTGAGCAATTAGTTTTTTGTACGGTCATTTGTATGTAAAACTCTCAGATTACAAAAACTATTTGAAATTTGGCCACATGGCTTACATCTTGGAGAATCAAACTGTATTTTGCAATACAGAAAACTCAATTTTCTCAAAAGTGCTTCCCCCCCCCCCCAAAGGCCACTGGACTTTCTTGGTGTTTTCTTTGAAAATGTTTCTCTTCTCATCCAAGGAGCTTCTTTGATGAGAAATGAAACGTTTTAAAAGAAAACACCAAGGAAGTCCAGATGCCTTTTATGAAAAAAAACCCACCATGTTTGAGATAATCATCACCTAGTGTTGTGGTTCGCCAGCAGCTGGTGCGGACGGCAGAGATATTGGACAGTGGAAGGGAACTAGTCAGGGAGTCTGGAGAGGACTTGGATGAGGTTCCTGCATCTGATGCAGGGATGGGGCCAGGACCATCTGAGAGTGGGGTGCTGCCTCTGGAGCCTTCGGAGTCTGGCAGCAGCAAAGCAAAGGATGCAGGGGAGCCTGTTCCCAGTGCGCGTATGCGCAGAGCTGCTAGAAGGCGAGGGCAGCTGAAGCAGAAGGGGTGACTCGGGAGTAAGGCTGGGAGGGGATTGCCCCTCCCATAAGGGATAAAAGTCAGACCTCAATGACGAATGCTTTGCAGGAAGCAAAGCAGTTCAATTAGATTCTGAATCCTTCTTGAAGTTCTGTGTACTCTGGTCAGTTTTTTCCTTTGGGGGGGTTTCTGTTATAATTACTTTGAAGTCTTCTGTTTTGGGCAGCATTCCACAGCACTGACAAGCGTGAGCTTATCTTGGGGAACTGTGTTTAATTGGTTCTGACTGGGAATGAAAGTAATTCCCAGTGTTGCAATAAAATAGGTTTTGCTTTTAAAATAAGTTTGTGTTTAAGTATGTTTGATGAAACCTGGGTCAGAACACCTGGAGGATTGAGAATATCCATAAACATCCCAACTCTTGATCTGCATGATTCCAGATAAACAAAGCCACATTTTCTAGGCTTCCTCACATTAATAATTCTGCCACTCTCTCCTCCTCTGTATCTTTAACAGAAGCATTGTCACTTGATTCTCTGCAACTGGTTCGAAGAAGCTCTCTGCCAAGGACCGTTGGAAATTCTCAAACATTGTTGATATTTGGGAAACAGC